TAGTATTTGGATATAATTTTTTTGGAATCGGTTGATATAGTTCAGGGTTGTACTAACAATAACATTTCGTTTCAATGACAGCATAAACTCAGAAAAAGAAGTTCTTAAAAGTTAAAAGAGACTCTAAAGAAATTGAACAAAGTTATTCATTTTTCTTATTCAATTCTATCTATTATGGTAATATATTCTTTTGTTATTAACAAAAACATCTATTAATTTTTTCATTGGAAAATATAATAACACAAATAAATAAGAATATATTGAATTTATGATTTATCATCAAACAATATTTGTTTGTTATAATCAATTCCTCCTTTATTCTATATTCGTTTATTTTCATTTTTCAGTAACAGACTTTCATTTTATCATATTATTCAGCTATTTGAATATTGATTAAGTTCATCATATTCAATTTAATTGTTGACTGTTATTTTTAATATTTTTATTCCTTTTTGTCTTATTCTTCTTTACTATCTTAATCTATTTCATCAATACCACTCGTTATTTAGTCTATGTTCTATCTTATCAATATATTTTTCTATTTATCAACTTACTTTATTTCCATCATTCATAATATTCTCTTATTATTTCCTATTTCTTTGTTTTATTCTTCTTAGAAATACTTCTCATGAATAACATCTTATTCCTTCATTTAATTTTCATAACCAATCCAAATTTTTTTAATACACTCATTATATTTTTCATTCTTATTTAACGAAAAAAAGATGTTGTTGGAATAAAAAAAAAGAAACGAATAGATACAATACAAACTGTAAAAATTAAAAAGTATGAAGAAATAAAGGAAATAAAAGAAAGAAAAGTCATTGTTTTGTTTGTTGGACAACTTTTTGTTTAGTTTAAAAAAGAATAGAGATGTTGTTATCCACAAAAAAATTAATTAATTTCATACACAAGACTTATTGACAAACACCAGTTTCTGAAAACCAATCACAACCATTTCTTATACAGTCATCTTCTGTTGTTCTTGAAGAACAGGTTTTAAAAGTGATTGCTCCACAATAAAACCTGGTAACATCAACACATTTTATATATACATTAGTTGTAAATGTTGGGAAATTCGTTCTAACTATTCCTTCAATATAAGGAGCAGTATTTGATCCCTTCGTAACAGAATAAATTCCTTGAGGTAATTTATCACTAAATTCAAATGAACTTGACCAACAATTCCATGGTAATTGAGAAATAACTTGTTTAGGAATTTTTTCATTAAGATTTATGGTTAAGGAATAACCACTTCTATTATCATTAATTGAACAAGTATAGTCTGGTTGAATTAAAAATGATACACCAATAATAACTACAACTCCAAGAAAGAAAAGAACCAATACACTGATAATAATATTAAAAGATAACTTATATTTTGTATTAAACCAAAACGCTAGAGTGCCTAATATAAATAATATACAAAGACTTACAAGACAGAGTATTATTATAGACTTTCCCATCACAATACTCATTCCTACAGTTAATAAACCAATAAATAAAAGGACATAAGTAAATAATGTATTTTCTTTATTCCAATATAATATTAATTTTCTTTTCTGCATTGTATATTTTAATTCATTTTTGTTTTGGAATGTACTAAACCATAATGCACAAGTTATTCCCCAACAATAAAACCAGACTCCAGGTAATTTAGGTAAAATAAATATTACTAGTCCAGATAGAGTACTGAGTAATACTGCTAATGAAAATGTTATTATTGCTGGTCCTATTGAAAAATGAAATGACTCTTCTTCTATAGCAAAAGTTCCAATGACTTTTCTTTTTTCGTCTTCATTTTCTTGCAGTTTCTTACTAATTATTTTAATATTTTCTAAAGCATCATTTGCTGCTTTTGATAATTCTTTAAAACAATCCATTGATCCTGTATTACTTTCAGATGCTGCATTATTAATCTCTTTTAATGCTTCAACTAAAATAGGAATTATACCAATAACATCAACAGATAATCCAAATTCATCTTCATGAACTAATTCAGGACAAACTTCTTGAACTTCTTGTGCAATAAAACCTAAATTTTTTTCTTCTTTCCCAGTATAATTAAATGATTTACCTGTTAACTTTAAAATTTTATCAAGACACCCTTTGAGAGGTTCAATATGCTCTTTTACACGAGCATCAGATCTTTGTAAAAATCCATTTTCAGCTAATATCTCACCAGCAACATGAAGTCGTTTTAAATTTTCATTAATTTGAATAATACGAATAAAGTCGTCATGTTGTAATACACTTTTTAACTGATTATCTTCTATTTCATTAGAACCACATTCATATGTATGAATTACAGGAGAAGATTGTTCTTGAAAAGAAAGAGGATTAGATGAATTTTGATATAAAGTTGATTGAGAAGGTAGACTTAGAGATTTATTAAGTGACGAATTGATTAAATCTTGTAAAGGAAAAGTGACAAGATTATTTTGATTGATTACTGTGTTTATTACTTCGTTAGAGACTGTATTTGTAATTTCAGAATCTAATGAATTAATTAAAAGAGATAATTGTGGATTACCAATACGAGCACGTGCAATAGAACGTTGTTGTTCAATGTCAGTATAATTATTAACTTCAGTCATATAAAGTTCGCACTGTTTTTTAGCTTCCAGTCTATGTGTTAATTTTTTATATACCTGTCCTTTTTCTCCCCCATATATTGGTGATGCAGCTAAATGTCTCAAATGTGCATCCCATACATGAGAATAACAATTGTAATGCGTTTTAACTGGTTCTTTGCATCCAGGGAAAATGCAGAGCCAACTCTTTTTACGTTGTTGAACAGTAGTTTTCATATCCATGTAGTATTAAAAAAAATTTCCTAAAATAAATTTTTTTCAAGTTTAATTTTTTTATTTTTTTCTTATAAATTATATCAATATCCTAATATCCCGTTTTCTTACCTCTTAAATTGTAAAAGTCTTCCTTTCTAAAAATACGTATTCTATTTTTGTATTAAATAAAAAAATTTTTTTTAACTAATTATAAAACAATAAGAATATAAAAATCTTACAAAAAAAAAGAAAAAAAAAACAAGTATATTCTAATATAAATTAAAAACGTTTTTAAGAAAAATAAGAGGATTGAATCATTAGAAAAGGATTTGTGATAAAAAAAGATCAAAGAAGAAAAGTTAGTTTTATTAATTAATTAATAAAAATATAAGAAAAGAATAAATTCAAATGAATTATTCTAACTGAATAGTTAGTTGTTGTTCTGAAAAGACAGGAGATTCATGTGAGAAGTCAGAAGGTAGACTAAGTTCAGGAAGAGAATTTGTCTCACTAAACTTAGAAGTTAAACTAAGAGAGAAGACTGTTTTGATTGTTTTTGAATAATAAGCATAAATTAAGAAAGGAATAACCATTGAAGGAACAAGATAAAGTAAAGCTGGTTGACCAACTTTAAAATTCCATAAAACAAATAATGTTAAGACTAAACCAAAACAATAGCCAAGCAAAGTTGTAATGAAATATTTCGTTTTATAAAACAAATCAATGCAATAAGCATAGTTAATAAATATACCTGGAAGAATAATATCTCCTAATCCAATTAAAAATTGTCCATTAATGAATTCTATTAATAAAGGAAGTTTTAATGATGTTGCTGTTTTTGCAGCTTCAACCATTACTGATTTACCATCAAATAATGAAAGATTAGCTGAACCAAATACCCAAAAGATATCATAAAAGAACATAATAGAAAGAAGAACTAATGGGATATGAACTTTATCAACAAACAGAAAAGATTGAATTGCTACTGCAACTCCAATAGCAATAATATTAGAACTCCAGCGTGTTTGTGTGAGAAGATAAACAAAAATAATTGTCAATGAAATTAACAAAGATAAACAAATTCTTATTTTTGAAGATAGTGATGGGACATAATCAAAAATTGGTTGAAGTATTAAACAAAAACAAGAAACTGCAGAAAAAAATACAGACGCATAAATAAAATATTTAGCTGTAGATGGATAAAAGAAAACAAATATAAGAAATAATGAACCAACCAAAGGAATAATAACCACATGTTTCCATTGTAATTTTGATTGAGAAATAGTATCTAAATGCCAATGAATAAAATATACTTTAAATTTACAAGATAAATAATGAATAATTATAGTAAGAGTAATCAGCTGAAGAAGCTCGAACATAATAATGATTAACTATTCATTTTCAGTTAAAACTTTTCTATTGTTTCATATTTTGATTTACCTATGTTATAATCTAATTAGTTTTTATTATATTATTTTTAAATACTACAAATTATGCTTTTTGTTACCAACAATTTAATGAATTTAAGGAACTACGTTCAATAGAAAATATAAATGTCTACTCGAAAAATCTTTGATACAAAGAACTTATTAAATTATTCTTGAACTCATAAAATCAAAGGGATGTTCAGAAAAAATGTTTGGACATTTCAATCACAACAACACCTTCACTCTCAACTTCGTACTTCTAAAAGACTAGAAATGCTGTCAAATAAAAGGACATTGGCTGACTCTGTACCAAAAGAAGAAAAAACTTTAATACAAACACTGTCTGTAGATAGTATTACTCAATTTAAAAACCTTATTAATTCAAATTCAGAGCATGATATTCTTCAAGGATTAAATGGATTTAGAAAATTACTTTTAGGCACACAACCTCCTTTAATTGAAATTTATCAAAGTGGAGTATTACCCCGACTATCTCAATTAATTTCAGGAGAAATATCAATTAAAAATTTAGCTGTTGGAATTACTGCGTCAATGGCAGCAATTGATAACCCTCAAATTATTGATGAATTTATTCAACTAGGGATAGCTAAACAATATGCTGATAT